CGAAACGTCTGGAAATGTACCACGTCCACGGTCCGACTTTGGAAATGATGATGCATACAATGGACTCCGGTACGGGTGCGTTCATCTAAGTCTTCCTACCAACATGACCGAGTTGCGAAAACAAGATCAAACAACTTCTATATTTATTATTGTTATTATTTTTATAATTAGCTAGGATGAGAAGAAGGGAAGACCGCTTCAACCGGTAATCAGGCTTATCCGCCAAATGTCAGCAGCTGCAATCCGCTTGAAATATGATAACTATTTTACGGATATTCGTATGCGAGTAGGGTTTCGAGACTACCAGTAAATCAGTGTAATGAGATCTATTCACCCTATTTCGTCTAAGGTGATGAAGGACTGGTAGAAGAAGAATTTTCCCACAATGATATGAGTTGAGCTGACATTTCCCTTGAATTTCACATTGCCTTGCTTTCCCAAAAGTTGTTCTCATCCCGACCTCGAATTGGTCTTATCAACACCCTCAGCGGGAGTCGTAGTCGATTGCTATTGCAAACATACGTTTGCTTCATCGACACTCCCACTAAAGGAATATGATATAGCAAAGAGGCCTGACCTTCCTTGAAATTCACTTATGTCCTGTGACTCAAGGGTACTCGTGGCAGTGTAGCCGAATGGTTGGTGTTTCAAGCTACCGTCCTGCGGTTCGAATCCCGCTGAGGGTGTTGATAAGACCAGTTGATGCGAGGTCGAAACTGCAGTCGACTGGTGTCTGGATGAGAACAACTTTTGGGAAAATTCTTCTTCTATCAGTCCTTCATCACCTTAAACGAAATTGAGTAAATACATCTCATACTACTGATTTACTGGTAGTCACAAAAACAATACTTAATTCCAAAAATAAAGTGAATTCTCAATATGAGATGTATTCACCCAATTTCGTTTAAGGATGAGAACAACTTTTAAAAAGCAAGGCTATGACGTCAGCTCAACTCATATGATTGTGGGAAAATTCTTCTTCTACCAGTCCTTCATCACCTTACACGAAATGGGGTGAATACATCTCATTAAACTATTTTACCTCCGAACCGAGCCGATGCGCTTTTGGCGTTTTTCCACTTTTGCACAAAGTGGCCTTGGTTGAGATGAATCGTGTTGCATCATCACTGCCCTCTCAACCTCTACATTTGTTACGAGCAATCACCTTTTCTCTATCTCTCCTCCTCCCCTCCGACCGCTGCTGCCCATTATTCACGACACGACAGTACCCCTCTTCGACTCTGGGTCGTGACAACAAGCGGACAGAATGTAAATCCAACATTTCGAGAGGCCTTTCACCGGCTTTCGACAACTGGACGCCAATTGACGCAGAAGAGTGCAGATATGCAGCTCTACCCTCGACGGCGTCATGTGAGCTTGTTCGGCGCGCCCCACCTCCGAGCATCAGCCCATCTTCACTGGCCGCGATGAGCAGGGACTTTGATGCTTTGGGCAACAAAGGCACGATAACAGGTAAGGCCCGCTTAAGAGTTTCGGACGATCGGAGCAGGTTGATTGGTTCATACCGACTCTTGTCTCCGTCCCCAATCCTCTTCCAGACCACATCATCATCTCTCTTTCACTTGAACTCCAGACGAGTGTGATTTTAGCACCTGCCGAGTTCGGTGGGATTCCCTTTCGACGGGAAACGTGTTAAAAGCTTCATACTCTCACTCAACTGGATAGATTCCCCTTGGTTACGGCAGTTTCGACTAGCAACTGTATCCGAAAGCGGGTTGTGCCCGCCAATTGACAAACAAACAAACAAACAAACAAACCAATATACGCGCATAAACAGAAACGGGTGTCAATGGGTGGCAGGGGAAGCCGGACTTCCCAAAACTCACATTTATGGTAGGATCAGTGTCGATGAGGCAAACTTACATTTTTTCATAGGAATCGTAGACACTACTTTATTATGAATGAGTATACTTAAAACAATCAGTAGGTTTCTTGATAATAAAGCTATTCGTTAAAGATTATGTAAAATCAGCTAGTCTTAATTTCCTACTAACAAATGACTGGTATTGAGGAAACCATTTCATTTCAGTTCTAGTGCACCATGGATGATCTAAACTGTTGTTCCGTTTACTACTTCAGAGTAGGCTTGATCCATTCAACCTATAGGTCAAGATCCAATGTTATTTTTCTCTTAAAAGTATTACACTTTTGGGTTTATGAGTGGAGGCGCCAATCGACATCAAGAAGCCCGGCAATGAGTCCGGTTACGTTGAGATGACGCCACCCAAAGTAAGGGTTAATCTCAAGCTGATGGCAACAGGCGAGATTACCAGTCGAGA